TCTCCCAGCCTCTGGCGTTTCGGGGGAGCTAGAGAGCGGCGAGTGTCAGCTCGCTCTTAGCGCAGCGCCGGACCTCGGCAGCCCCTGTGGGGGAAAGGGCCGTTACCTCAGGCTGGAGGCATGGATGACTGTTCTCCGCACTGCCAGAGGGCGGGGCGATTCACACAGAAATCGGGGGTTTAAATCCGTCTATGAAATGGCCGGCGGGGCCCACACGCTGCCTGGCAGCACAGGCAAAGGCTGAAAATCAGGCCCTGAGCGACCCGGTGAGGGTTTGTCTCACCTCAGCCGTGGCGGGGCTGCGGACACGCGGTCCGTGTCCCATGAAAAGTTCTCCAGAGCAGCTTCACAAATAATGATTTCTTGTGAATGGCAAGTACGATGCTTGTTTTTCAACTGACCCCACTGGTAGGACTATAGGAATATTTATGTACTTCTTGTGCGTTACATTATTATGAGTATTTTCCTTAAACAGGTCTCGTTCAATTCTTACCTATTTATTCAGAAACAATGGCATGCGCGTCATTGTGAGTGCTCACTTTTTTCTGTAGCTGGCTCTAATGGAGTCCGTGGAGGTATTGTTTCTGATTGCCATGGAGATAAGACTTCATCCTTTAACGCATCTTCCTTTCTTCTGTCCCATGCAGATGATTTTGAAGAGAAAAAGCCCAGTATAAAGAAGAATAACTCAAAAACTCTGTCTAGGAAGAAGGAAGAAGATTGTGATACTGGAGTTTCCAACTCAGCAAATAAGCCTCCAAAACAAAAAGGGGCAAAATTACTAATAAAAGAAAATAAAAAAGTTACTAGAAATAAAGGGAATCATAACAAAGAGGAAACTTGCAGGTAAGTTTACTTATTATCATTCGAGTCTATGGGAGCTCTCTGTTCATGGTTACATGTTATTTGTTTAGGGCCCAGTGCTGCATATGGGCGTGTGAGCAGTTTATTTTAGGCTATCAGTCCAATTTAGTACCTTTGTGTCACACAGCTGGACAGAAGTACCATCTCATTCATTGCAGAGTCAGTCCTGACGAAAATAGTCTGTATGGGAAGCAAACATGTGAGCCTTTTCAAATTCAGTGGTTTAAATACAAAATTTTATTTCATTTGTTGTAGTTTTTACATGAGACTAGGGAGGCTTTATGGAAACCAGCATGAATAGAAATGTTGGCCTGAGATTTGGGTTTAAGATGATGAGCAGAAATCTTTAAACATTTCATTCTCTGGTGTTTTTTGGAATCCAAATATAGTATCAGCATGGTCTGCCCATGGAGATTGCTACAGCAAATGAATTAATGAAAAGAAATTAAACTGATTGGTCTCATTTCACTGGCAAGCTAGAGCTTTGCTTATAGTGTAATGAAACAGAAACAGTTCCAATTTCAATACACTTTGAAGGCTCAGTAAGAACAGATGATTCAATGAAACATTTATCTAAGGGCTGATTTGTACAAGCTGTTCTAAAGGATGGGGCCTTTTGTAGGTTCAGGCATCTTCCTTTCTAAACATCCTTGCAGAACCAGGACCTAAGTTTGCAATGAAAAAGTGTTGCTCCATCGAGCCCGTGGTTATTTATGGCAAAGGCGGTTTGCTTTACAGAGAAGGTGTCTGTGGTTTAATTGTCAAATACTTGGTCTGTTGTTTACTGATGCAGAGGTCATGCTTCATTTATTTCCCTATTTTTAGTGTGTTCTTTATTTTTCTTAAATAAACAAGCACACTTCCTGATGCTAAAGCCATTTTGATAATTTTAACAGTGACTCACTGAAGCCCCCTCAGAAGGAGATAAAGTTGAAGAGAGAATCTCCAGTTAAAAAAGAGATGGATGAAGACAATACTGACGATGATGATGATGAAAGTGAAGATGAATGGGAGGATGTGGAAGGTAATAACTGCATGTTTATTCATTTTAAGGAGTAAATATTCTTATACACAATTTTTTTTTTTTGTAGTTCGATTTTTGAACCATTTCTCATTTGGATTCAGGTAAATGTATGTACTGTGTATACCTAAATATGCTCCATGTACGTATCTGTATCTTCAGAAAGCTCGTGTATCATAGTGCTTTTAGAATGGTTCCAAAGTAGAAAAAACCCAGACCACGACTGACCTGATGGTAGTGCCTTGAATTTGACTATTTGTTGGCTTACTTTAAAATTATGCTGCCATGCAGAAAGCACTTTCTCAGCTGTTTGTGTTGTCTAATATTGAGGACTCTAAGAATGAGTCCATTTGAAGATTCAAAACTGTGACTTCCTAGTAAAGGAGAGTGGAGATGAAACCAACTGAGCTGTTCGATTAGGTGGCCATCAAGAAACTGTGATAAGAATCACGATGATCATAATCTTCGTATTTTGCTGCTAGACTTACGCCTTCTAAAGTGAACAGTTGTCAGTTTTTTTCTTTGCTACTCTACAAGTACCCTTCAAGTCACATCTGCTTCATTCACCTTTCTCCTGATTGAGTTTGCCTGTGGCAGTCACTTACCATTAGACTGTGTTAAGCTGATTCCTCAACAGCAGGTGACTGGCATCCCACAGTTATTGGAAATAAGTGAGCACGCACAGTGTTATGGAAGATCCAGGAACTAGTAATTACTGGGGGTGTTCTGTTTGTAGGTTGTTTGAACACTTGAGAAGGAATGACAATATCCCATTGTCAGACCTCCCTGGGGCATGTATTCCATATTTACTTATCATTTGTAATATTTTATTTTTCCAGAACTCCAGGAACCTGCCACAGATAAATTAGAAGAAGCTGGTGTTCTTCCGGCAGTGGTGCTGCCAAGCAATCCTGTCGAGATAGAGATTGAAACCCCAGAGCAGATGAAGAAAAGAGAGAGGAGGTAAGAACAGGGAAGGCCGTGGAGGGCCATTAAAGGATGAAGTTAAAAATACGCTGTCTTGACTGTCACTGACTTGCTCTCTTCTGGGTGGAAATCCCCACTTTGTGCAGACTGTTGAGTTGGAATGATGTGAGGTCATGGGATGGAGAACAGCTTACACACTGACAGTTTTACTAAAAATGTTCAGTGGAAGTTGGTGGGAATGGAGGTTTTTCAGCTTCCTTGAAAATCAAGCGTGTAACTTCATTGTGCTTTAATATCTACATTTCCAAACCAGGGACAGTAGTAGCACTCTTCAAGGAGAGCTGTGGGTGAATGGCATTGTTGTACTGTAATTATCTTAACAGCTCAGGTGGAAGCCTCTGTGTGCCCATACCTGAGGTGTGAATAGGTGGGTCAAATGAATGTCCTTGGCAGCTGGGAGCATTATACCAAGGAAGGCTTTCTTTGCGTGGTGGCTGGAGGCTTGATGATATCTCATGCTGTTACAGGGTGGGCACTGTCCCAGGCCAGCCCTTCATAACAAAGTAACCAGAATATCTGTTGCCTCTAAGTTAATTTCTCTTCATCAATGAAGAGAAAACCATTTTCCAGGAATCAGAATGCTAGGTGTAATCTAAAAGTCAAACAATTCAGACAGTGAATTATAAGTTTAGTGGAGCTGTCCAAAGCTGTCTGGTAGGAAACTGTAGGCACATAAAGTTAGGTGGAATATAGGCCATCTGAATATACCCAAGCACTCAGTAGTCGCATACGTGGCGTTCACAGTTTATTAGTCATATGCAGCCTGTATGCCTATTCACATAGCCAGTAACTAAACTTTTGTTGAGCGTGCACAGAAGATTCTCTGGGATGGATTCTCTTTGTGAACTGATCCAATTCAGGAACCTAGACAGGCAGGTCCATAGAAAACCCACAACATCCATTTCTTTTATAATCTTATGCAGAGAAAAAAGGAGAGCCGAGTTTGAGATGTATCTTCGGAGAATGATGAAACGTTTCAGCAAGGAGGTTCGTGAGGACACACATAAGGTATTGGTCACGGAGAAACCTGGCAGAGAAAAAATTGAGCATAAAGATGCCTGAACTGATTCGTAACGAAGAAGAAACTAATTTTGATCAAATAATTTGGGGCCATGGCTAGAATTGAAAAAATAAAAAGGCTGTAGTTCTGACAAATGCTCGTTAGACTTCTGCTAAACTGTAAGTTAGAAACATCAGTGACTGCATTAGTAAAACTCTAAATCAAAGCAGATGTGAGTAGGGTGTATATTTCTCCATTGAGTGTGTATCTGCTCATTCTGTTGGGGTTAAACTGTCAGTCATGTAGAGCAGGAGACACTAATAGGGGCTTCAAGGCTTTCCTGTCTTCTGATGGTGATCTGAAGACTGCCTTGCGTCCACCCTGTGTATGCTTGGGAGTCTTCATTGTTGCCTGTCTCTGTTAAAAGGAGCAGTAAAGCCTTCCTCATCTATACCATGGACAATAGTTCCAGCAAAGAAAATCTCTTGTGAACTCACTATAGAAACTTTTTTCTCTCAGGTTCACCTCTTGTGTTTATTAGCAAATGGTTTCTATAGGAACAGGATCTGCAGCCAACCAGATCTTCATGCCATTGGTCTATCCATCATCCCCATCCACTTCACAAAAGTGCCTGCAGGCCAAGTGGACCTTCTCTACCTTTCCAACTTGGTGAAATGGTAAAACTCTCTCTCCTAATCATGCTATCACATAGAACGTAGAGCCAGGGTTCAGGGAGAGGGGTCAATGTAATTACCAATTTTCAGTGATTTTTCTGAGTTTAAATTCAAGGGTGAGAGCCTGTCCTTTTTACAGAAGGATAGGATGAACTATGAAGTTTAAGAATACAGTCACAGACACTAGACAATAAGTAGGTGTCTCATATTTCAGGTTTGTTGGAACCTTCACTGTCAATGATGAGCTTTCCACTGAAAAAGGAGAGCCCCTTCAGTCGACCTTGGAGAGGCGCTTTGCCATCTATGCTGCACGAGATAATGAAGAGTTGGTTCATGTAAGTGACTGGGAAGTGCAGAGTTGGTTGCTGAGTTTGCATGCTAGATCAGTGCCATAGTGCTGTCGAGTCATACACAAAGTGGTGTTTGAGGGATGGATTTGGAGAAAACAAATTGGTGACTTAGGTGATTCCATGGCTTTTTTGTTGTTGTTGTATTTTTATCTGGAGTTCTACTGTGATTAAATTATTCAATTTGAACTGTGCCTAACTGGAGCCTCTAGTTCTGCTTGGTGTCACTGCGTGCTCCATGTTCTGCTGTGGATGTCTTTACGTATAGAGCTACTTGTTCCTAAGTATGCTTTGGCTTCTTTCTGTTGCTTTAGCAGCGTAGATCAAAGAAAACTGGCTTAATACATTTCTTCTGAAATACTAATTTGAGTGAGGAAATTCTTGGGCTTACTTGCAGCCAGAGAAACTCTTTACAGATCTTTGAGTTAGAAGGTTGGTAGTTTGTTACTATGAGTCACCACTGAAGGCCAAAGGAATTGAACTTTGATTTAGAGCAGCCCGAGGCCAAGACTTCAAAAGGACTTCAGCTCTACAGTCATTTTGTGGTGGAATTGGATTAAGGAAAGAAGTGGAGTCAGTTGCTTCAAGTCACACAGAGATTTTCACAAAACAGCCGAGGGAGGGGGAAACACAAGAAATCAAATTGACGAGACATTTGAAAGAGCGGAAACGAGCTTCTGCTTTGCAGGTGCATGGCTTGCAGCTCTGCCCTGTTGCTGATGAAGTGGGATGTTGCAGCTTCTCTGCTGCAAAGCAGGAAGCAGTTGTGGTGGCTTTGCAACCTTCCTGTGGAAATGCAAAGATGTCACTTCCTGGGACAGGAGGAAAAGACAAAGCAAGCCTTGCTTAGGCAGCTTCAGTTGAGTCCCATGCAGGAAGGCAGTTGCCAGGTCACAGCTGTTAGCCACTCAGTTGTGACTCTGATGATATTCCCTGAATGGCTGGTGTTTCTGCTGGGTTCAGCTGATGGTGTGTGCCACCTTTGGGAGGCAGGATTTAGAGTCATCTTACTCAGTTTTCCTCAAGAATGAGAGGCTGATAGGGTAGATGGGATTTGGGTGAATTACTGTGTCTGCTCCAGCAGGATGGTTCATTTAGCCTCTTTAGAAATTGGTTCCTCATCTGTGAGTTAACAGCAGTACCCCTGTCGCAGTGGTAACGTAAATAAGAGCCAGAGAAGACTGTGCGGTGCTTTAATACTATAGCAACTGAGTTACCTACACATCTGTGTCAGTGTATACAGCACTGGGTAAAAGGTAGGAATGAACGTGATTTGTGACAGAACCCAGATTGTAAAAGAGTTTCAAGAGGTTTTTTTATATACCTTGAAAAAAGGTTAAACATGCTTTATTTTTTCTTTTGCAGATATTTTTAATAATTCTGCGAGCATTGCAGCTGCTGTGTCGCCTCGTGCTGTCTTTTCAGCCCATTCCTCTCAAAGAGACAAGAGCAAAGGTAGATTTTGTTGGGTGTGTGGAATAAGGAGTAGGTCATTGGTTTAGAAAGTAGGATTGAAAAAATTTTCTGGCTGTTGCAGCTTGAAGTGAATCGCTTACTGCATGAACCAGGGTGATGACAATGTTCTGTCTATAGTGCAGAAGACGCAAACCCTTAATTTTTAGGTTTCTCCTTTAAAAAAACCACCCATTTTGTGTGTTTCAGCGAAGACTTTTTATGCGTCAGTGGTTTTAAATTTCTTTAAAACTTGGACAGCGAACACTTGCTGCTTGAGTACACCTCTCTCCATCCATTTGCCCGAAGTTTTCAAGTCCCTAAGACATATGATTTACCATGGTGGCCAACCTTTGGTCTGCATGCAGCTCGTGCTGATTTCAGTCTTTTTTTTAACACATTCTTAGCCATGGTGATAAAAGTGACCTAGCCTCTTTCTTTGCAGGGAAAAAGCTCATCCAAGAGGCAGTCTCTCAGTGGTACCTCTGAGGGGCAGGAGAGCTCTGCCACAACACCCAAAGCTGTGGCAAAAAAATGCCCCTGCAGAAAAGCCAAACAGGATGAAAAATCCTCAGAGAGCGAAGAAGACAACAAGGAGCCAAAGAAACACAAAACTGCTCAGACCAAAAGGACACGCAAGTCAAAGCTGACTACAGGCAGCCAGGAACAGAAGGAATCTAGTAATGAAGAGACCTGTTTAGTGGAAAGAGATGTGCCAGTCAGGCCCAAGAATGATCGCCGGAGACGAGTGGCCTCCAAAGTGTGTTACAAAGAAGAGAGTGGAAGTGATGAGGGCAGTGTTTCGGACTTTGAGGTTTCAGAAGAGGAGAATGATCTCTCAGATGAGGATTTTGAAACTGTCTCTAAAAGGCAGAGGAGCTCACTGGGCTCCCAGAAGTCAAAGGTAACGGCTATAAAAAGCCCAAAAACTGAGACTTCAGAATCAAGGCTATCCAAAAATTCATATGGAGCTAAGCCTAGGCCAGCAAAAAGTACAGCTCCAGCGTTGCCTCATGCACAGAGAAAGAGAAACAAAATAATTTCTAGTGATGAGGATGATGGACAGCAGGAGGTAAGGAAAGTGACAGGCAGAGACCAGTGGCTGGAGGTTTTCCTTGAACGGGAGGACAAGTGGGTGTGTGTAGACTGTGTTCATGGCAACGTTGGCCAGCCCCAGCTGTGCTTCACATATGCCACAAAGCCGCTTTTCTATATTGTGGGATTTGACAACGATGGGAGTGTCAGGGATGTGACGCAAAGATATGACCCAGTGTGGATGACTGCAACAAGGAAGAGTCGTGTGGACCCTGAGTGGTGGGAAGACACGCTACAGCCATATAAAAGTCCCTGTGTGGAAAGAGACAAGAAGGAGGAAAATGAGGTAAATGGCAATAGGTTATTCAGCACATTTAGTGCCAGGAGTCCAGTCTTTGGATTCTCATTCAGGCAAAAATCATTAGGAATCTTTCCATGAGGAAGGAAGCTTGTATTTGAGCTTGAAATGTTCAGATTGAGCATGTTTTAAAGGGAATATACAATGATAGATTAAAATAATATCAAATGGAGGCTGTTCAGAGAAATCTGGATAGCAAAAGTACTGGACAGCCCATGCTGGAAACTTAATGTCATTTCTGTACAGTTTAGCATTACCCTTCTCGGAGAGAGTCTTTAAAATACGTAGATCTGGGTACACATCTAAGTACCTATTTGCAACAAGAATGCTTTGGTCTGTTGGCTCACCTGATTAAGTTTCTGGTGTTTTATTCCTTTGATCCATACTATAATCATTCTTACTTTGTTACAAAGGGTAGTGTAAGAGAGTTGTGAAATCACTCTTCTTTGTATAATTCCTACAGTTTCAAGTTAAGCTTCAAGATCAACCTCTACCAACAGCAATTGGAGAGTACAAAAACCACCCTCTTTATGCACTGAAGAGGCACCTCTTGAAATATCAGGCAATCTATCCTGAGTCAGCTGCTGTCCTAGGGTACTGCAGGGGAGAGGCTGTCTACTCCAGGTGAGTGGTGCACATGTTGTCACGTGCAACTGTGATCTTTGTAACAAATTTAAGAGCGAATTTGTATGAAGACCACGATGGTATCAGCAGTAGTCTCAGGCCAGATGCATAGATGGGGTGAGGCATTTAGCTGCTCAGACAGCATTTGCGTATCACTTAGATACAGCTTTTTTACAATTCCTAACATGTGAATAACAGTCTCTTTTATGGAGAGACTTCACAACTCTTATGATGCTTCCTTCTGACCTTTTTAGAGACTGCGTACACACGCTGCACTCCAGGGACACTTGGCTGAAGCAAGCTCGAGTGGTGAGGATTGGAGAAGTGCCTTACAAGGTAAGAGGGTTTGACTTCCTCCTGTGCAATGTCTGCCCTCTATAAAGTTCAAGCTCAATTCTGTTTTGGTTTTTGCCTTCTCTCTGTCAGCAGATGCAGATTTCTCACTTGCTTGCATGGTTTGTGGTAGCTGCATTGTGAATCTGTCCACCTGATGTGCCTATAGTTCCTATACACTACGCAAAGCCCAGCAATCTCTTCTTCCCACCCCAAGGGTATCTAGCAGAACTGCACCCTTTTCATCTTCTTTAAAGGCATCCTAGCATTTTATATGAACTGCAGGATCTGGCTCCCTTTGCATACAGGTGCCATGGGTTATCATTTATAAGCAATGGATACTGAAGCTAGGAAATAGACATTTCTTCTCTCCCAGAGCCTTCTCTGATGTCCTAGGAAAGCCTGAAATCACCGGCAGCTGCTTGTTCTGGTGTTACAGGCTTGGTCATTGTATTTGCACAGATGGTGAAAGGATTTTCCAACCAGGCAAGGAAGGCACGCCTTGCAGAGCCTGCAAACCGGGACAAAGAGGACTTGGCACTGTTTGGTCGCTGGCAGACAGAGGACTATCAGCCACCTATAGCAGTGGATGGAAAGGTAGCTAGGAAGGCAGAGGGCTGGTGTTAAAGCAAGTGTTTGTATGGAGCTGTGGGCTTTGTTTTTCCAGAAGTTGCATGTTTCAGAGGTGAGATAATCAATAACATCTGGATACAGGATTAAGACATCTGAGGTAACAGTACTGAGGAGGAAATGGTCAAAATTTCACTGAGGCCTTTCTTTCCTGAGTACAAGTAAAGAGTGCTAGCAGTGCAGACTGCTAACTTTATAATTTCGTTGATCTAATTTGCCTACCCCATGTTTGTTTTGCTAATTCTCCGCATTATAGCCTGAGTAACAAGGCCTAGGCAGAGAACATAACTAGGAGATAACCATGGAGCTAAAATCTAGGATTGTGCCTTGTCATGTGAATATTAATCGAATACTAGAGTGGAATGTAGCAGGTCAGAAGGAAAGGGGAGTCCCTGAGTTGCAGCAGAGATTTTCACCTCTCTCCAGAGAGCAGGAGTGTCACCATTTCTCTTTAATTTTACAATAACAGGTTCCTCGGAATGAATATGGAAATGTTTATCTCTTCCTGCCATCCATGTTACCCATTGGCTGTGTGCAGCTGAGACTCCCAAACCTGAACAGATTGGCGCGGAAGTTGGACATTGACTGTGCTCAAGCCATCACTGGATTTGATTTTCATGGCGGCTACTCGCACCCAGTGTATGTAAACCTGCTTTGTTGCAGCTGATAGATTCTGATGTCCTGGAGAAGCTGAATACCCTGTGTTAAGGAGTACATACATGCCCTCCCATTTTGTGCTAGTAGTGGCAGTGGAGTCAGTGGCCCTGGCATACAGAAGTGACTTTATATGCTTTAAGAGTCTGCACTTGTGTGGGGAGGCTCAGTGATGAGTTACACACTTAGATCCTATGAGGCAGACAGATGGTTCTGTCGATATTCAGTAGCTTGCTTTTGGTTTGGCTGGGTCAGCAGGCATTTGCTCCCTTTCTTTTTTCTTCTAGTAGCTGACAGAGGATTGTGTTCTCCTTCCTAGTACCGATGGCTATGTTGTCTGTGAGGAGTATAAAGAGGTCCTCATTGCTGCTTGGGAGAATGAACAAGCAGAAATAGAAAAGAAGGAGAAGGAGGTGAGAATTATTTTTGCAGCTTCCTTATTGTTACATTTATTAAGTAAATTTCATTTAAACTGTGGACAGTCGAACAAGGGTGGGCTGTGTAAGCAACAGACACAGAGCTCTGTGACTGTGAGCGGCTAGTTGCAGCCCCCAAATGCCCCATTTTGGGCTTGCTGTCCAGTATTGCAGTGGGATGCAATACAAGTGTGTAGCAATATCTGAAATAGTGCATACTCTGGAATAGTTTTCCATGGCTCCTGGGAAACAAAAATGAGGAATACACTTATGAGGTTAAAGTTTTGGAGGTGCTTCTGGTGTAATTTACACAGTCAGGGTGTGCATTAGAAAGTGACAGAATTCATGTATTTAGAAGATAATTGGACACTGGCCTGTAATCTTTTAATGTGACACATTTAAGTTGGTGTGTTTTTTTTAAATAGCAGTTTAAAATCTTCAAACTTCCATTTTCTATGGGTGTAAATACATTGAAACTTAAAATAGTAGATTTTTCTCTTTTTAATAACAATCCGTGTCGATCTGCTCGAGGGTAGGAAGG